AGTCATTTTACTTGTCATGTGAATGCATCTTGATTCAAAAATGTTTAGATATTTATACTAGAAAACAAGATGAAAATACCAAGTAAGAAAATCATTTTTTGCAGTGTGTGTTTGTGAGTTTTTGGTCTATCAAACATGACTCGTCCAATGATGTTCTGGAGGAATGTGCTTCTAAATGAAGCTTCCTTCACAAAGAGCCTGTGTTTTCTCTGATGTCAGGTGTCTGCACACGGGAACCTCCGTTTTACATCATCACCGAGTTCATGACCCATGGAAACCTGCTGGATTACCTGCGTGAGTGTAATCACGAGGAGGTCAATGCTGTGGTGCTGCTCTACATGGCCACGCAGATCTCCTCCGCCATGGAATATCTGGAGAAGAAGAACTTCATCCACAGGTGAGCTGCGTTCGTAATAACAAAGTCGATTGTTATTAAATAGTCATTGTGTTGCTTCTTCACAGTAGCTTGATGTGCACCGCTCGAGTTTCTCCCTTGAGCCTTTCTCTTGCTTCATCAGACAGAAGTGACTAGTTGAAACAAGTTTTATAGCACAATAATTAAATTGTCTAGATAGGCAGTGCTGTCACTCTCTCGGCCTGATTTGCTAAAACAAGCAAGCAAGATAACTGAACACAATTTCTTAAATAGACATATAAAAAGAATCAGAATGTGTCAGCTCCTTCAAAGGTAGTTCACAAAATGTATTTATTGCATTCTGTGAACTAAAACGTTACAGGACAAAGTAGGGCTGGGCGATTTTTTTTCCCGATTTTATCGAGTAATTCGAATTTAATGTTTTGCCACAAGTTTATTTTTTAGAAATCGAGGAACTCGCGGTTTTGAATAGAAATATTACCAAATGTTAGAATTAGACACTTAGACAATATGCCGGAGATAACAGTGAAGAGAAAAGAACGCATGTCGGCGCACGTGATTAAGCGCTCTGTGAAGGACCAGACGTAGAATATAGCGCTAAGCGCCATTCACACAGAATGTGCTTTTGTGTTGACAAAGATGCGACGCAGGCAGAGGAATAGGAAACACATGTAAGAAGATGGGAGTGAACTTGTTTTAACTTGAGCGCAGTGTTTTCAGAAAGCCGTTTCATGCATGAGATGCAAGCGCAACTGTCAAATGCGTTCATGTTTACATAGAATAAACAATGGAAAAGCAGCGCAATCGAATAAAAAACCTGTGAAGAACTACTACTGTATGACTGATATTTCATGCTTGCATCATGATGACAGGCTAAAAGCTGCTGTTCGTTGTTTTTACAGAATATTTATAGTTAATAATAATCTACTGGTGTTATATATTTAGTCATCTTGAATTTGAATTACCTTGACTTTTGAGATTTTATTTTAAGCATTTTCCTTGTATTATTTCTGAACACATAATATGTATAAGACAAGTTTGCACAAGATGTAGTTGTAGTTCATGCATCTATTCTGCAAAGATACTTAACAAGTGATTTGTTTAACATTTACATCGTGTGTGCTGCACGTGGAATAGAATTTTCTTATACAGGGTTAATAAAGAAAAAGTTACTTGAATCATGCTGTAGTTACATTTTCAAGTTGACTAGTTAAAAATCGTAAAAAACATCAAGAATCGGTCAAACGTTCTGAAAAATCGAGATAATTTTTTTTTGCCATATCGCCCAGCCCTAGGACAAAGGGACAACATAGTATTAGTAATAGTAGGAAGTGACACGTTTCCAGTTACGATCTGGCTCTTGTTTCAGGGATCTGGCTGCCCGTAACTGCTTAGTTGGGGAAAACCACTTGGTTAAAGTGGCAGATTTTGGACTGAGTCGCCTGATGACTGAAGAAACCTACATAGCCCATGTAGGAGCCAAGTTTCCCATTAAATGGACCGCCCCGGAGAGTCTGGCCTATAACAAATTCTCCATCAAGTCAGACGTGTGGGGTAAGCAGAAGTCAATGAATTCACTTCCCAGGTCGAGATGTATCTGTGTTATCTCATGTGTAAAGCTGACATTTTTGCTTGAACTCTTTAGCATTTGGAGTCCTACTTTGGGAAATCGCCACCTATGGGTTGTCTCCGTATCCTGGAATCGACTTGTCCCAAGTGTACGAGCTACTAGAGAAAGATTACCGCATGGACAGACCTGAGGGATGCCCAGAGAAAGTCTATGAGCTCATGAGGGCCTGTAAGTAGCTCTTTAGATCAGGACCTAAAAGTAGACAAGCTCAAGTGTTTGAACAAAATGATTACAATTAAAGGTGACCTATTATGCCCCTTTTAACAAGATGTAAAATAAGTCTCTGATGACCTTTAGAGTGTGTATGTGAAGTTTTAGCTCAAAATACCTCACAGATAATTTTTTATAGCTTGCTAAAATTGCCACTTTTAAGGGTATGAGCCAAAACACGCCGTCTTTGTGTTTGTCCCTTTAAATGCAAATGAGCTGGTGCTTCCGCCCCCCTTTTCAGAAGAGGGCGGAGCTTTAAGAGCTGGCAAAAACAAAATGGGACAATCTCACGCACTGAAACTCTCAAATCTGTGTATCATCCGTTCACTAGTTTTTTTATTTAATATTGAAAGTAGGAAAAAGAGAAAACGGCTCCTTTTCTAATTTTTTTCCAAGAAACGAAAAACAAGAATTCGGCTTAATTTTTTGTTTTTCGTTCAGGAGTAGAAAAATGAATAAACAGCTTGAATATTCGATTTCTACACGTGGGCGGGAATTGACCGTTAACAAAGAGCTTGATTGACAGGCGATCTGACCAATCAGAACGCGAATATAATGTACCGCCGCTGCTATCCACCATCTTGCCCGACAGCTACGGCCGGTCTCCATAGAAATCCATGTTAAAACGGGGTAAAAAAAGATCGACTGGATTGAAACTTTTTCAATATAACTAAATATAAAAATGTGTGGAGGGTTAAGCTGTGCTGTTGTAGGCTGCCACAGAAACGGCAATAAGCTAAGGAATTCCTTTAAAGCGTTTTTTGTGTTCCGCGGTTGACATAAAATACTTTTTGATGTTTATTCATGTTCATTTCGTGCTTTACATAAATATGAAAAGACGATCGGTTCACGTGGCAATACAGCGATCTGTCACGACACATTAAAGAACCACAAAACGATATTTATTGTTTGAATTTCTTTAAAAATTACACAATTTAAAAGCTGAGAGTCCTGAGACCTTGTTTCATAGCAGAAGTAACCTGCTCTGTCTTGTCTGTCGGTGTTTTGTCAGTTTCCTCTTTGCTCTGCGATGTATTTTTCACTGCGTGAGAACATTCATTTCGTGCTTTACATAAATATGAAAAGACGATCGGTTCACGTGGCAATACAGCGATCTGTCACGACACATTAAAGAACCACAAAACGATATTTATTGTTTGAATTTCTTTAAAAATTACACAATTTAAAAGCTGAGAGTCCTGAGACCTTGTTTCATAGCAGAAGTAACCTGCTCTGTCTTGTCTGTCGGTGTTTTGTCAGTTTCCTCTTTGCTCTGCGATGTATTTTTCACTGCGTGAGAACACGTGTGTAGTGTGAGAGCAGCATTGTTTGTCGGGGATAGCAACAGTAACTAAGGAGGGCGTGTCTTTGTGAACGGTCAATTAAACGCCCCTTTCTGCTGATTGGTCAGCCGAAGATCAACCTTCCGCAGTTCCTCGAGGAAGAATAATAGTCCTCCAGGTGTACGGTTTCTTAATGCGTGATGATGACGGCACGGTTTGATCTTCGGCTGACCAATCAGCAGAAAGGGGCAGTTAATTCCCGCCCACGTGTAGAAATCGAATATTCAAGCTGCTTATTCATTTTTCTACCCTTGAACGAAAAATTAAGCCGAATTCTTGTTTTTCGTTTCTTGGGAAAAAATTTAAAAACGAAAAAGGAGCGTTTTTCACATTTTTCTATTTTCAATATTAAATAAAAAAAAAAACAAGTGAATGAATGATGCACGGATTCTCCCAGTCCCACTTGTGATTATGAGCTCGACAAATGAAAGCGGTCGACTTCACATTGCTTTCATATGCAATTTTTAACTACCACATTCCTATTTGCGATCATTCTAGTAGCACGTGAAGGCAGCACCAGTGAAAACAGACAAGAGACGATGGTAACTTTAGCAACATTAAGGCCGTTTCACATTGAGCGAAAAAGCAAGGCGAATCGCCGACAAACAGTGCTTTCACACCGAACACGAAACGATTGATCGCCTTCTGCTAATTCACGCCTGCATGCTAGGTGGCGCCGACTAACAATGCGTTTTTCCTCAGATATGGATTTAACATCGTCCACTACTCAATATACAGCATTAAATTAATAAAGCTAAAGTAAGTTTGGTTTTACACCAGAAATACAAACTATCTATAATGCTTACAAGTCCTTTAGCCTTTAGTGCCAAGAAGCTTTTTCAGAAAGGCAATTTGGAAAACAAAATATGACGCGCTTGCTTTGGAGCTGACGGTTATGCACGAAGCGTTGGTATTGATCCCTCTTTCAGAATCAACTTTTGCAAAAATCCAGCGTTGAACTAACCCTCCTTTGTGAAGCAGTCCGGTGTAAAATGATTGGCACAAACATAGGACTTTTGGCGCTGACATTGTGTATCTCCAGCAGCTACAGCAGGAAAACAGTAAAGGTGGACTGCTTTTTCTCACTCAGGGCTGTGTCTATGCTAATAGGGCAGAGAACGTCACAAATGGGCGGGATTTCTCCCTAAATCTGGTATTGCGTGTTCTGAGAGACTGTTTATGCTTTATTGGGATTATAAAAATAAAACTGACTTGGTGGATTTTTACCATTATAGGCTGGTTGTTTTTACACACTGTGTTCAAACACCTTATAAAAGTCCCCTGTAAACGGTATTAATACAGGCCCTTTGGACTGACCTGCGTGTTTCTGTCTTTAGGTTGGAGGTGGAACCCTGCAGAGCGGCCTTCTTTTGCTGAAACCCACCAGGCGTTTGAGACGATGTTTCAAGAGTCCAGTATCTCCGACGGTGAGACTCTGTCTCTGGAGATTTAGAGAAATGAACGTGTACTTTCTTGTGGCTCATCTTCACTTTTCATGGGTTGCAGAGGTGGAGAAAGAGTTGGGCAAAAAGGGTAAGAAGCTGACACTGGGTCCGATACAGCAGGCTCCAGAACTTCCCACTAAGACGAGGACACTGCGAAGACATACGGACAGCAGGGATGGCGACAGTCCCGGTAAGCTGCGCTCTCCCAACATTCACAGTGAATTCTGAGCTGCTTTTCTGCAGACTGATGAAGCTGTACCCTTTCCAGACGCAGCAGAGCCCGAGGTAACCGGGCCCCCGATGCTCCCGAGGCCTGTCCTTGATAGCAACTTAAACGAAGACGATCGCCTCCTAGCCAAAGATAAAGATAAGTTCCGAATGAATCCGTTCAGTTTAATCAAGAAAAAGAAGAGAACGGCTCCGGCACCGCCTAAACGCAGCAGCTCCTTCGGGAAGATGGATGGGCAACTGGATCGTAGAGGACTGGCTTCCGACTGCAGAGATGATTTTAACAACGGCGCTTCCACTAACGACAGCATCGACCCTTCTAAATTGGTCGGCTCCAACAGTACAACGATTGTCGGAGTCACCAATGGAGCCATGGTTTATCCCGGTCAGCTCCTTCCATCTCATTCACGGAAAAAAGGCACAACATCAGCCGGCGGAGGGAAGCTTGCCACGACTCCACCCGCAGAAGAAGACCCCATGTCAAACTCCAAGCGCTTCTTAAGGTCTTCTTCCACCTCTAGCATGCCTCCGGGGTCCGAACGCACCGAGTGGAAGTCGGTTACCTTGCCCCGTGATATCCAGTCGTCTCACTTTGACTCGGGAACCTTTGGAGGAAAGCCAGCTCTGCCTCGCAAGAAAGCCGATTGTGTGCCCCGTGGTGGCACCCTTACTCCGCCACCGCGCCTTCCCAAGAAAACCGACTCGGATGCACCAGACGAAGTGTTTAAGGACTCGGAGTCTAGTCCTGGATCAAGTCCTTTGACTCTGACACCGAAGCTCAGCCGTCGGACGGAAAGCTCCAAAACGAGCGCCTTGCAAGCGGAGCTGTTCAAACCCAATGTGCTTCCACCTCCAGGAGACGAATGCAGACCTCGTAGGCTCAAGAACTCTTCCGAAGTCCCTGGACAAAGAGACCGAGAGAAGGGGAAGTTCGCCAAACCCAAACCAGCTCCTCCTCCGCCTCCGGTCTCGAGCGGCAAATCCAGAAAGACTTCGAGGAGCCCCACTTTTGACGTTTCTTTGGATACCAAAGCCAAAGGCTCGTCTGAACACAACCCTCCAAGTCCTGGATCCGCAGAACAAGGCAAAGGCGTGAGCCTTTCCCAAGAAAGTGCTAAGAAAGTGCCAAAAAACACCTCAAAAGTGCAGCCCCCAAAGACGACTTCTATATCCCCAAGCAGTCAGCTGCCAGGGATGGGAACCGGATCGGCTGTCGGTGATCCGGGATCCAACTTCATTCCCCTCATGACGACTCGCCGCTCGCTAAGGAAGACGCGCCAGCCGTCGGAGCGGCTCTCCAACTCCTGCATCACACGCGAGATGGTCTTGGAGAGCACCGAGCTCCTGCGAGCCGCCATCGGCCGCATTACGGAGCAGACCGGCAGCCATAGCGCGGTGCTGGAAGCCGGCAAGAATCTGTCCAAGTATTGCGCGAGCTACGTCGAGTCCATCCAGCAGATGCGCAACAAGTTTGCTTTCCGCGAAGCCATCAATAAGTTGGAGAGCAGCCTGCGCGAGCTGCAGATCTGCCCCGCCGCCACCGGGGGAGCCAACACGCCTCAAGACTTTTCAAAGCTGCTTTCCTCCGTCAAGGAGATCAGTGACATTGTTCAGAGGTAGCGGAGAAGAGCACGGATGCGACCGGTGTCATCTGCGTGTCTGGGGCTTCTCTAGTGATGTGAGCCACCTCGGCTTTTCTCATGCCAAATAGAGGAACGTTTCCGAAAGGTTCAGTGTCTTATTACTGTGCACAAGTGCAGGGGAACCGTTCCTCCAGAGTCCGCTTGGCGATCTTAAGGTAGCCCAGGTTCAAGTCGTAGTGACTTGATTGAGTCTCTGTAATTCCTTGACTTTCCTCACTGCAAAAAATTATTTTCTTTCTTAGTATTTTGTCTTGTTTTCTAGTGTAAATGTCTTCAAATTCTGGAATTAAGATGCTTACTTGACAAGTAAAATGACTTATGTCTTGTTTTCTGAAAAAATGTTGTTAGTTTTTGCTTAAAACAAGTAAAAATATCTGCCAGTGGGGCAAGAAAAGCCTTTGAGTTGATATTATTTTTCTTACACCATTGGCAGATATTTTTGCTCGTTTTAAGCAAAAAAATAACAGAATTTGGATATTTTTTCAGAAAACAAGACAAAATATCTTAAATCATTTAACTTGTCAGGTAAATGCATCCTGATTCAAGAATTTTTAGATATTTATACTAGAAAACGACAAAAATACTAAGCAAGAAAATATTTTTTGTAGTGGCTTCTCTGCATTTTCTCAAAGTATTTGTTAAAAACAGCATTATTTCATGACTGACAGAAAAACAACTCATGTGCCTCACACTTCCAAACATTTTTACGGGATCAAAATATATTTTCTGAAGTACATTCACGATTGATAAAGACTGTTTAGCTTCGCTTTCTTTGTGTGGTTGGTCAAGAAAGCGCTTTGTTGCGAGATGTGAACGGTCCCTGTGATATGAGGAACTTCGTTTTGTAATCGACTGATCGCGTATTGTATGATTGCGACATTGACATTTGCAGTCGTAAAGTCGGTTTTCCCATCTTTTCCAGGCCCGTCAGGGGTTTTGAACAAGTGTTGCTTCAGCACAATCACTACATAAACGCCTTTATGAAAATACAGTTGCCTTATAGAGACTCGCTGAACATGGATCACGGATCAGCGAACGAAACACACTACTGTCTCAAGGAGAACGACTTGGGAGTGAGAATCGGCACTTAAGATGCAGTATATGTATAGATGTGTTTGTAATGTCCTCTGAAGGATCTTCAGTTACCACTTCAGTTGTCATTTCCAAGGTTTTCCACACACCACTGACAGAAGCGCTCCGGGATCACGGATGTGAACGGAGCAGCTTTATCCAATGACCACAAGCCACATGATTCTCGTCGAGACTAAAACTTTCCAGTCTGTTGTGCTTGTGTAATTGAAATAATGCAGTTGTTTTCAGTATTAGTTCATCTGACAGGCCAACCACAAGCTGCCTTTAATTCAACATGGTACTACCAGTGTTGACATTTCATGGGTTTTTTATCTCTTAAAATCATGCCACTACTTTTTAATTTGTATTCAAGCCTCACACTTTTGAAGACTAATTGCTCGTCTTTGTAAATACACATCACCTATTTTCAGTCGATTCTTTCTGTAACGTTGGTGCAATTTGTTGCAAGAAATACAAAGCAATTTTGCTACTTGAACAACGTCAAGGGTTTGTTTCTGTCAGCATGCTCGTATTGTCTGCTTTCGCATGATACGCAGGTGTTCATTTTCATTTTAAATGTTTATTCAGAATGAGGCAGAAACGCTTTTCTGTCTAGAGCATTTTTATTGTCATTATTAAAATCAAAATGTCAGCATTTTAAAACCACATACACAAACAGATTTTTCAAACGTTAGCACAGCTCCTTCAAAGTTTATACATATGTACTGTTTTTACTCGCGTGAACAGCGAGAAGAGGTCATTCAAACAGTTCAAAAGGACTAGATCAGTCTGAGATCTGATCTCCATCGGTAAGACTTTCTGTAGAAGTTGCCTCGCGTCTCTTCAGAGTTTATGAGTGAGGCGTCAGTGCTGTGTTTCATCAACAGATACAGCCTTATGTACAGCAGCTGAATCAGATCTGATTTCATATGGTACATACACTGAGTTAAGACACAGATGCTGCTTCAGAAGAAGCTGTGCGTGGTGCTGTTAATATACAAGCCGATGCACTGATGCTTACTGTACAGCCTACATGACTGGAGCCGTTTCCGTCACATTTCATCCATCTATACAAAAACAGTAGCAGTGTTGTGAAACCGTTTGTTTAACTCAAGTCTGAACTGCATGTTGAGCTAGTTGAGATTAATCGGTGATAGTAATAATATTAAGATGAATGAATAATAAGGCAACACAAAATAACAGGTGAGGACAGACGAATGTATACTGATATGATGAAGGGGCAGAAGAGGAGCGATGGAAGAATCAATCTTTTCATAAAGTGTCTGATTTATAAAGCTGTCCGACCCAAACTGACTCACACTCATGCATGCGCTCGCATGTCGACATGCACGTGATTGCGAGTTCGCAACAAGAGACTTTCATTCGGTTTTAAATCTGGGATCAGTGCAACCACTGGACGTTTACAAATGCATGAATGCAATGCATTATTCTGAGCAAGGTGCATTTAAAGGGGTGGTTCAGTGTTTGTTTTCTAGGCTGGATTGTGTTTATGGGGTGCAGTCTAACGTGTTAATGCTACGTTTTTTTAAAAACGCATTTTTCACATAATTTACCTTTATTCCACACAGCTCTGACGTCACATTGTTGAGCTATGCATCAATGCATCAATAAAAAGAGGCTGAACTGAAGTGTGACGTGATGAGCAGAGGTTAGTGCGGTCAGAGGATGATGGGAACGTAAGAACACACCGACCAGAGAGCGTGAGGACGGACAGATGAAGAGAGAGAAGGGAATGAGCGCATGTAGCCGTGATCCTCCCCTCTCTGGGACGGCCGAGTGTGTGATGGAGGAGGAGGAGGAGGAGGATGAAGGTCATGTCATTAACAGCCACACCCTTCCCTCTGCGGCTGTGGTTCGCTGGTGAGCCGGCCTCCCTGCGGCGCCGACGGTTTGTGCTGCACGCCCGACTCGGCCGCGTTCAGATCCAGACTGCCGTCTTGGATGTTCTGATAGATCTTCTTAGCTGCTTCCAGAAACGCGTCTTCCACATTATCTCCTCTGTGAGCACAAACACACAGTCAGCATCTATACGCTCACGGGAGATTCAAATCTAGATCAAACTTGATGTTGGTGTGGGAAAACCCAAACTGATCTCACGAGAAAATGCAGTCAAACCAAAATTTATTCAGACACCTTCAACATTTCTCACATTATCACAGTTTATTAGAAAAACTCGAGTTAAACTGTGTCAGAACAAATTCATCTTGATAATGTCAGATAACTTTGATAGAAAGGTATGTAGTGAATTCGGTTGAATAGCTGTCAGCTGTTACATTTAGGAACACAATTAGATAAAACCAATTTAGCTCAACTAATTATCAAGCAGCGCTTCATTTTGTTCAGTCTGTGGTGTAAAAAGATCACATTAGCAAATAAAGAATAACACTTCAGCAAAACATGCTCAGCTCAAAGTGTCTGAATAATGTTTGCTCCCTAGTTTTTCTGGTAGTCCGCTGTATGAAGAATTTTTGGGTGCAATATGTCACAGTTTACTTTATTTTGCTATCCTCACTTACAGAAATGAACTATAGTGTCCTGCACCCACTAGTAAAAACATATCAAAAATTATATAATTTTTGGTTTGACTGTATTTTACAAGGTGGCAATTTATGGTGTCAAAAAAAATAAAAATAAGCAAACCGATTGAACTACTAAAGCATGCTTAAAAACGTGCTAAAGCATACTAGGAATATGCGAATGATGTGCTAAAATGTTATATTCATGCCATTAACATGCTAGCATTGTGTTAAAGCCGGTTGCTGGTGTTCTATGGATGGATAGCGTATGGTGGAGTTTGCGGGAGGAATTAGTGTTGTTAGAGTTTATCACAGTGTTGGCTTTTGTCTCGGTGATGTTTCTAAAAGCATTTTATCTGCGCTTCCACGTTCAGGTTAGAGGCGGGCGATATACCAGCAGACACGATTGTGGACTATCGTCTTTATTATCGTCTTTAAATGTGTCGTTTACACATATTTTGAAGCACTGCGGTTTAAAAACAAGTGATTTTAAGCGGTTTAAATGCGGCGCACATGAATCCACTGCTCATACATCAGTATTTTTGAGGCTTTATTGGCCTTGAATGGTTAAAAACACACTTATATGTGTCAAATACCCATCTTTGCAAGCGTTCTCGTAAACACAGTCATTCTGGTCTGAAGTGAAAGTAAACAGTATAATAATACAATAATAGTACAATATACTGTAACAGTTACATTGGATCCTGAAGTTCGTTCTTAAAGGGGAAGCTGCCTATTATTCCTCCTCTCATGTTAATCTAACAACAGCGAGAGATTAATAATACGAAATTTAACTTGCACAGTGAAAACTATGCAGTGTTTTTGATTAATTTATACATTATATCATTTATTTATTGTAGTTTTTTTGTCCTGTTCCTTGTAATAAGTTACTTATCTTCAGTGAGTTTGAGTTTTTTTCTTTTTCTTTTAGGCTTATATTAGCTTTTCTGTGATATTGACAGCGGTGACAAGAATTATGAAAATTCTATGGTATCAAAACATTTCATATCATAAAAACCTTATTATATGTATTAACTATATGTGTCCCTGCAGCACAAAAGCAGTGTTAAGTCGCTGGGGTATATTTGTAGCAATAGCCAACAATACATTGTATGGGTCAAAATTATAGATTTTTCTTTTATGCCAAAAATCATTAGGATATTAAGTAAAGATCGTGTTCCATGAAGATATTTTGTAAATTTCCTACCGTAAATATATCAAAACTTAATGTTTGATTAGTAATATGCATTGCTAAGAACTTCATTTGGACAACTTTAAAGATGATTTTCTCAATATTTAGATTTTTTTGCACCCTCAGATTCCAGATTTTCAAATATTGTCCTATCCTAACAAACCATACATCAATGGAAAGATTATTTATTCAGCTTTTAAAAGATGTATATAAATCTCAATTCCAACAAATTGACCCGTATGACTGGTTCTGTGCTCCAGGGTCACATATGGTAATATATATCATCATTATCGTGATATAAAATGACTCCTATCATGATATAAGATTTTGGTCATATCTCCCATTCCTAATTCAGGTAAGTGCTGTTTTCATGTCGGGGTTTTCTTCATAAACTGGTTTGGTGAATGAACACGCTACGCTCTCTGATGATTAATGTGTGTGGCTGGAATCACTCACGTTTTAGCGCTGGCCTCCAGGAACAGCAGACCTGTGAACACAAACACGCGTGAGATGGGAACAGCGTCATGTGACCTGTCATGTGAGACGCTCCGCTCACCGTTCTCTTCGGCGAACTGCTTAGCCTCTTCATACGTCACGTCTCGCTGCGCTTCCAGATCCGCTTTGTTTCCTATGAGAATGATGACCTGCACAAACAGCAGTTTTCTGTTATTATAGGCTTTGATGCGGCACGTTATGACAGTAAACTGATGCCTCGTTCTATTTATGACGTCTTGACAAAGAATTTAAAATCTGTATAGAAAAGCCAAGGTAGGCATTTATGTTCACGTTCTAATTGTTATCAGGCCGACGCAGATTTTACAGCATGTGATTGAAGTTGTTACGAATTTTTGGCAATGAATTAAGTTTCTTATTTAGGCTACTTTCTTATTTAACTGTATTATTTCTTTGATAGCCTATTTATTTTAGTGTTTTGCAGGCTGTGTGTTTCCCTATTTACTGACGAAAGTGCTCAAATATAGACGCACGTTTGTTAATAGATGTTTGAGGCTTATTTATGCACACACCCTGAGCCGCTCATACTCACAGTATTGGGGTTGGTGAGGTTCCTGGCGTCGGTCAGCCAGCTGCTGAGGTGGTTGTATGTGCTTCTCCTGTACGACACACACACAGAGCATGAGCTTCCAGCATCCCCAGAGCCTCAGCGAGACGCCTGGATGACTGACGTACCTGGTGATGTCGTAGACCATCAGCGCTCCCGCCGCTCCTCTGTAGTAGCTGCGCGTGACGGCTCTGAAGCGCTCCTGCCCCGCCGTGTCCCAGATCTGCAGCTTGATCTTCTGACCGCTCACCTCCATGATCCTGGTGCCGAACTCCACGCCGATGGTGTGCGGACAGTCGGCCATAACTGCTCATGAACAACAACAACAACTGCTGAGTCAATCACAGCTCTGATGAACATCGACACTAGCTATGTTTCCATCATAGCTATTTTAAAGGTGACATATCATGAAAATCTGACTTTTCCAGGTTGCATTTTTAGCAGGTCCGAGTTGTAATGGTGCAGCTCTATTCTGGAAAAGGGGGCTGGGAGCAGCAGCTCATTTGCATTTAAAGAGACAGGCCCGAAAAACAGCGTGTTTCTGCTTCCACTCAAATCTTTTTCTATTTAAATGATATAATAAATGATCTGTGGAGTATTTTGAGCTGAAACTTCACAGACACATTCTGGGGACACCAGAGACTTATATTACATATTGTAAAAAGGGGCATAATAGGTCACCTTTAATGCACATTTTGAAGTATCGCATGAGAAACGTGTGATGGAAACGCCAAATTTTTCGAATAAAAATCCCTTAATTCGCAAAAACGTTTTTACGCTCGCTTGAGGTGGTTTTTGACTTGTGCAAAAAAGGGTTAATGTGAATAATAGGAGATGGAAATGTATTTGGCGAATAAATTCCTCCAATTGCATCAAAAAAGTCATGTGACTTTGCGCTATGGGATGGCAAATCCTGACAAACCAGCGGACCGATCTCATTCACAGCGTCTGAAATGCTGTTATGGTCATTCGGAAATGCACGAGCAAAGTCAGTCGTCAAAGTATTTCTGTATAATTAATGTCTTACACGACTGCGTTCCCAAACAGCAGCATCCTCCTCCGAAAGCAATGACCGCATTCATATTGTTTCGTCTGCTCGATCTGAGGTGCAAGTGATTTATTATATATGAAAATTATTATATTCTCCTACTTTTCTTAGTGATATTTAGTGCCAGTTTATCAGGAAGTGACGAGTTTGTTCTCTTCAACTCACTGGATGTAAACTAGTGCTTTATTCGCAAATGTTTTATGCGAAATTCCAATTTTACGCAATTCATAATTTTGGATGGAAACATAGCTATTGATCTCAGTAATGACTCTATTGTCTTCTGTAGAGCTGCTTTACAGTTCAAAATGGATTTGACTTATATTTGACGACGTTGGCGTCATTAGCTATGCGTCCATCACCCTGCTTTTATGTGCATTTTGGAGTATCGCATCAGAAACGAGTAATGGAAGTGCCATATTTAGAAAAAATAAATATTATTGTGTTTCGTCTGCTCGCTCTGAGGCGCAAGTAATTTATTATAAATGAAAATTATTATATTCAGTGGCTTCTCCTATTTTTCTTAGTGATTTTTAGTGCCAGTTTATCAGGATTTTGTTCTCTCTGACTCGTTGGATTGAAACGGTGCTTATTCGCAAATGTTTCGCAAATGCAAAAAGTTAAGTTCGCAACTTTGGATGGAAACCCGGCTATTGATTCTGCCATTTTCCACTATGAAGCTGCTTTTAAACGATCTGGCTAAAAATGAGGGACTGAAGTGAGACTGACTAGACGACTTTTAACTTCATGATTAATTTCAGTTTAAACTTTTAAGACGAAACTGATTATTGTTATAAAAGCAGTTATTTGTAATCTTACATCATATTTATTGTTCAGGGTTTACAGCATGGATTACAAAGGCAAGGTCAGAGAGAAGTCAAGATCTAGTTAAATATAATAAATATAACTTATAAATTATATTGATTAAGCATTACCAGGTCAAAACATAAAAAAAGAACATGCACAGACGAACTGTTCACAATCAGATCTATAACATGCGTTTCCATTTTATGCTGACTTCACTTGATTAACCATCTACAATTCTAGTTTTAATTGTCTCTTGATGTAAACTAACTAGACAGGTGTGACGTGTCTCAGTGTTTGTAGGCACCGTGTTAACTTAAACAGCTCAGATCTTACTACTAAGAAGAACTTGAGAAGGATGTCAGCATTAGGAAAGCGTCTGAATCTGCATGCATTCACATTAGTGTGAGATTATGTGTGTGTTGTGCACGTTTACACGTGAAGCTGTGACCATACACAACTAGTGAACGATTAAAACTATTGGACCGTCGGCAAACCTGCATGTAACCCTTCTATCTGCTGCTGATGGTGATGATAAAGGAGAAGCAGCGCTTCATTCAGACGGTCAGTAATGATGCAAAAAAAACAAAACAATAAATAAACGACAAACAGGTGTGTCACGACTCTTTAAACCCGCCGTCACGCGCTGATCGTTTCACACAATCGCACACAGAGGCTGTTTATGTGGAGCACAAGGCTCGTTTGTGTGATCTGCATGGCGTGTGTTTAACATGCTGACGATCCCGGTTCACACTCACACTTCTTCTCGGTGAACTGGTGCAGTAAGCAGGACTTCCCGACGCCCATGTCTCCTGTGAAGAGAGATCAGACGTGAGAGACGCCACACACGCGAGCGAAACGCGTCGTTGCTGCCGATTCACTCACCGATGATGATGTACTTGAAGATGTAGGAGTAGTTGTAGGGTGCCGTGGCCATCGCCGCTCTGAAACACACACACACACACCGCAGTTACACGGACACGCGTGTCTTTAATGCCTCTGATCACGTTTGACCTGCATTAAACACTCATAGACACACGCTAATTCATGCCGTTATTACTGTAGTGAGTACTGTACTGTATTCAAGTGCTTATGAACAAAAGAGAAGCTTTACTCCAATTAAAAATAAAAAGGTTTTCTATTAAAAATAAAAGTTGCATGGTTTTACACTTGAAAATGACAGATTTAAAGCCCTGTTCGCACCAAGCACGATAAAGATATAACACTAAAAATCGTTCACAATATTAAAGAATAGCATAGTTCACACCACAACGATAACGATATAGAGGAACGATATCGTTGCGATCACAAATACAACAATTTTTTCTAGCTAATGAACGATAAAAACATTGACAGCCAATCAGAATCCATCCTGGTATAACGAGCTTGAGAATTTAAAGCGGCAGATACGCGTGCGCTTAAAATAAACAGACGATATCATCCGCTGGTGTGGACGCTAATATCGTTATATTTATATTAGTGGTGTCAAAATTAGCGCGTTAGGCGATTCATTTTTTCAGTTTAACGCGTTAAAAATATTTACCGCGGGAGCGGGGCTAGGGCTGGCCACCCCCCTCACAACTGCTGCTTCTGTTACATTTTCCTCTTCACAAGAAGTGCATTTATTCAGTCGCAGAACGACTGAGAGCGGGAGACGTTTCAGACGCGCGCTCCACTTCACTTCAGCGCCAGGCGCGAGTCAAACGAGCTCTCAAGCGAGAGGAAACAATAACTTTTATAGCTTTAAGGATTAATTTATATTTAATTTAGTGTTTGATAACTTCAATTTCTGTATATTTCTGCTGAAGGGCACAGGTAAATATGACATTTATTATAATGGGTTTATGTGAAGATTGTTTTAAGTTCACTTAAATTAGAAGTTATTTTTTAAAGTCTAATAAATGTTAAAATTGATAGCTCTCAGTTATACTGTAATGTTGAATGTTGAATGTGAAATTATTGCAATATAAAAGTATATTTAAAAACTTTAATGTTAGGTGGGATTAATCGCGATTAATTTCAGAAAAATGTGTGATTAATTAGTAAAAAATGTTTAATCGTTTTGACAGCACTAATTTATATATATCTTTATAGTTATCGTGCTTGGTGTGAACGGGCCTTAAGACAGTCATAATTGTACAGTAATGTAAAAACGTTATTGTATTATTTTTCTTTTTAATTAAGTAATTTTTGTTTTTTTAAATTCTACAATGAAATATTACAATTGTCATATTATCATTTAACAACAACAATAATTATAATTTTATATACGTCACAATTTTTACCAGAAAAATCAATTCTTTATTTTAAGGTGTCCGTGTTACAGTATAATTATACATTTGAATACTGAGTAATATTAATTAACTACATGTACTCACTATATGGTTAGGGTTGCTTCTATGTATGCATAATTAGTTATTACACAAGGACACCTTAAAACAAAGTGTTACCCAATATTGTGTAAAATAAATACACTTGTAATAGAACTATGTAATTACACACTGTTATGCATGTGTTATTTACTATCTTTAATTTAAATAGTGTAATATATATATCAGCTATCTAAACATGATCGGTCTACTAATGCTAATCAGACTACAATAATGACCAAAACAAGAGAAACTCACTCACTCTTAGTTTACTTCTCTAAAACAACCTGAAGCAATGTTTACTTACTGCAGACACACTGAAACACCGCACTGCGTTTCAGATCAGTATTTAATTATATCTGTGTCCCTGCAGCACAAAAGCAGTGTTAAGTCGCTGGGGTATATTTGTAGCAATAGCCAACAATACATTGTATGGGTCAAAATTATACATTTTTCTTTTATGCCAAAAATCATTAGAATATTAAGTAAAGATCATGTTCCATGAAGATATTTTGTACATGTCCTACCGTAAATATATCAAAACTTAATTTTTGATTAGTAATATGCATTGCTAAGAACTTCATTTGAACAACTTTAAAGATGATTTTCTCAATATTTAGATTTTTTTGCACCCTCAGATTCCAGATTTTCAAATATTGTCCTATCCTAACAAACCATACATCAATGGAAAGATTATGTATTCAGCTTTCAGATGATGCATAAATAAATAAAAATTGACCCTTATGACTAGTTTTGTGGTCCAGGGTCACATTTATTTCAATATTTGTACATGTTAGATGTGATCACTGAACCTGGTGATGAGAATGATGATATTTCACTGCTGAACTATAATAACCTGCAGCTATCATCATAAATCAGCAGTGTGTCTGTCATGAGTGAGACATCAGTCAGAGCCTAACACACACACACACACCTTCATCATCCTCATCCTCACAGCTATCAGAGTCTGCAGATGACTGACAGCAGCCTGACCTGATGGAAACACACACACACTAACGCGCGTCTAGCATCGTTTATTAGAGTGTGTTTGTGTGAAACTGTCAGATATAAACAGGAATGTCAGTCACAGCTGAGCGGGAGATAAAGCTGATCAGCACGACACTCTCACACACTCTCACACACACACACACTCGTCCTGTCTGCGATATTTCACGCGTTCTCTTGTTTTTGTGCTGATTTGGAGCTGCTAGCGGTTTGTTAGCATGAGCGGCTAGCGGCTGATTCGCGCCTCAGGATCGAGTTTGGCGCCGAACACACGCGCTCCGCGGAGTGTGAACGCGTGGTGTGTGTTAGTCACGCGTGCTCTCACCTGTAGTCGCGTGTGTTTGCTGTAGATCAGTGTGTTCAGGTGCTGATTATCCGGATCCTGGTCAAGATGGCGGCGGCACAAAGACTGACGCAGTTCCGCGGCTCGCCGGCGCGCGGCGCCAGAGAACAAGCGCTTCACTGCACTCGATCTGTTAAAGGGGTCATGACATGAGAAACCAAATTTGCCCTGATCTTTTGGTATATAAGAGGTCTTTGTACCATTAAAACATCCTGCACGTTTCGTAGATTAAAAAATCATTCTTCGTCGTCTTCTTCTTCTTCTTGGGGTTTTAATGGCGGATGGCATACAACTTTTAGGTGCATTACCGCCACCTACTGATGAGGAGTGTGGCTCAGGATCATAATCTACTCTTGAATATAAAATGTTTATCAAATCAAATTTCGCTTTATTTTCCTTAAGGTCATCAATCAGTATATTTATTTCCTTGCTGTATCTGGGACATTTCATTAAAACATGTTCTACATTTTCCTCCTGATTACAATATTCACACTTTCCAGTTTCATGTCACCCTATTCTAGTAAACCCGTTAATTTCGATGTTACCGTCTTTAGTGCAGACGAGTTACAGAGGACACATTTACATAAAAGTGTGCTAATAAGTGCTTTAATTTTAATTATTAAGATGAGTAAACATTACCATATGTGTAAAAACTATGCATTTAAGCATTTAAATTTAAGCGTTGAAGAATTTAAAAGTAGCCTAATAAACATACAATACAGAATGACAGTTTACAGATACATGAAGTCGTAATAACTGCATTATTGTTATTGTTATTATCATTATTATCTGGAATAAAGGGGACTCTGTGTAAGACGGCCATTCTCTGCTATTATAAAGCTTGGAAGAGAAGAGCCAGGACAGTTTAATATAACTCTGACTGTATTCATCTGAAAGAAGAAAGTCATCTGGCTTGAGGGTGAGTAAATCATGTGCTGATTTTCATTTTTAGTTGAACTATCCCTTTAACAAACAGACCTTTTACAGCATTTATAGAGTTAATCTGAACATTGGTTGATAAGCAGTTACAGTATGCTATATATTTAGTATCTATTATTACAGGTTTTGTCAGCTGCTTTCACACATTCTCAAAACTTTCCTCTTTTTTTCCAAACTTTAGTTTAAGTGCCAGCTTTCAGAAACTGTGTGACGAGTACAGATTTAGTGTTGAAAGTTGAGTTGAAAAATACTGTAATATTTCAATATTAGTTTTTGTTTTATTGTAGTTTTTTGTTGTTGTTGTGTTTTCCTCATTGTTATTAGTTTTATTAGCTTTTTTTTAAAGTAAAGCCATCTGGCTTGAGGGTGAGTAAATCATGTGCTGATTTTCATTTTTAGTTGAACTATCCCTTTAACAAACAGACCTTTTACAGCATTTATAGAGTTAATCTGAACATTGGCTGATAAGCAGTTACAGTATGCTATATATTTAGTATCTATTATTACAGGTTTTGTCAGCTGCTTTCACACATTCTCAAAACGTTCCTCTTTTTTTCCAAACTTTAGTTTAAGTGCCAGCTTTCAGAAACTGTGACGAGTACAGATTTAGTGTTGAAAGTTGAGTTGAAAAATACTGTAATATTTCAATATTAGTTTTTGTTTTATTGTAGTTTTTTGTTGTTGTTGTGTTTTCCTCATTGTTATTAGTTTTATTAGCTTTTTTTTAAAGTTTGTTTTTATTAACTTTTATTTCATTTTTAGTTAGTTTAGTACATCAGGTTAACCTAAATGAAATGTTGCCAACATTTAGCAACAACAGCGTTTTTAATATTTTATTTTATTTTAATTAAACTAATAAAAAATGTTTTATGGTTTTAGTTTTAGTTAACAATAATAACCCTGCCAAAAACATCCTGTGAACAAAAGTATTTCTATTATCTGACATTAACACTGTAAACAATATATTGCTAATTGCTGGTTTTTATGGATTAACGAATCAGACCTTATTGTAATGTGCTACCCAAAACACAGAGACGTAACGATGACACAACAGCACATCATCGTTCATCGATATCTTGTGTTGATATATTACCTCTCATGTTATTTGCATGGTCTGTTTTAACGTTAGTCAGTACCATCGGCCTGAGCTTTTAAGAGCTGAAGATGAATTAGTAATCTGACACAGATATGACAACATACAAAACCAACACATGTTGCTATAAGTTTAATCACACCATATAATCATTACTGTTAATAGTGTTCACTGTCTGTTTGATTGCATGACTTTAACCAACTGCGTGAATTTTACTCTACATTTCTGCCGTATGGACATCACCTTGAGATAAGCTAAGCTACTAAATATTATACAGATAGTTACATTTCCTGTGAAGCTGCTTTGCAACAATTCGCAGAACTGTTTGGTTACACATCCTAATTCAGTGCTTTCTTATAGAATAAGTAGGCTAAATAGGAAATAACAATATTCAAAAAAATTAAAATACACAATATACAAAATAGACAGTATTGAGGCCTATGTGTACAGTACAGCTGTGTTATGTTCAAATGCAAGGAAATGTAAAAATAGGTATGTGTGTATAAATATATACTGTTGCTTTAATGAATATAATATATAAATACTGTTGTACATAAAGAAAATCTATGCATTTTTTTGATTGGCTGACGAAACATCTTGAACTCAATGAAACAGTTTAGAAAGATGTGAGTAGAACATTACGTGATGTCTTTATACAGCGAAACGTAAACTAGTTGCGATTTATATTTATTAATATGGATGGATTTCTTGTAATTATTGTTTTATTTATTTTTTTCTATTTAGTGTAAGTCTAAGCCCCTCTTAAAACTGATGTCTTTGAATGTAAGTTGTATGCCAATTTGTTTTGTAAACTTAATAATAAATAATAAAAATAAACTTTCTATTTAGTGTAAGTCTAAGCCCCTCTTAAAACTGATGTCTTTGATGTAAGTTGTATGCCAATTTGTTTTGTAAACGTAATAATAAATAATAAAAATAAAAATAAACTAGTTGCGATTTATCACGTTATTGCTCTGTTCGTGGCGTCACCGCCGCGCTCTCTGACGTCATCTCTGTGCGCAGGAACCTCTTCACACGTGTTTCCGAACGTCTCCGGTGTTTTCGTCTCACGGAGCGCCTGCTTTCTTCGATTAAATAGCGACGTTTCCCGACAGCAGCGGGTTTGTAGCAGTGACCGCGATGGCGCAGAGGAAGAAGAGGCTGCTGAGGAGGAAGAAGAGAGATCACGAGCTCCAGTCCGATGATGAAGAGTTTGAAGTGGCCGCAGGAGTCAAAGATGACCAGGACACAGTGAGTCAATCAAAGACTGTTTGTGTGTAAACCCGATCATCTGAGGACAGTGTAACTCTGACAGCAGATGTCCGGCATACTCTGCTCTCACTGTATTGAATTACGTTGAATTCAGTCAGTAAACAACTGAAAAGAGGATGTTTGTATGAATGTTCTATGTCTGTGAGACAGATGCGCTTTCACACTCAATCCGGTTTCCTTATGTGTAACTGTTAATGTCCCAATTCAGATTAAAGTGTGTTCTTTTAGCTTTAGATGACAGAGTGCAATATATATTCAAACTAAACCCTTATCACACCCATTAGGTCCGGTTTGACCCTGAACAGATACATTGTTTATACTAAAATGCATAGATTTAGTACATCTACATTGTTATTTAGCAGACGCTTTTATCCAGAGTGGTAGTATAGTAATAGTAGTAAGAGAACAAAACTGTTCAAATGCTTAAGACCCTCGAAATACATTTACTGTTAATTTTTGAGAGATATAAACATGCATTATATGATGTATGAAGCACTGTATTTCTGTGGAGTTATCTATGATGTTTTGTTAGTGTCATAATTTTCACACACTTTTGGGATTGAATATTTTTGATAAACATGTACGCTTATTGATGGACCATTGCAGCATCACTTTTTTCATTTTGTCAAAGTTTATGCAAGTAAAATTACTATGTTTTTTGAAAATATTTCACAGTAATATTTATTATAGATTTCATATGTGGTTTTTGATACTGGTAATTTTCAGGTTATATCATATATAAAAGTTATCTTTGATTAACTTTTTTGATTCACTTCAAATAAACTGTTCAAATGCTTAAGACCCTCGAAATACATTTACTGTTAATTTTTGAGAGATATAAACATGCATTATATGATGTATGAAGCACTGTATTTCTGTGGAGTTATCTATGATGTTTTGTTAGTGTCATAATTTTCACACACTTTTGGGATTTAATATTTTTGATAAACATGTACGCTTATTGATGGACCATTGCAGCATCACTTTTTTCATTTTGTCAAAGTTTATGCAAGTAAAATTACTATGTTTTTTGAAAATATTTCACTGTAATATTTATTAGAGATTTCATATGTGGTTATTGATACTGGTAATTTTCGGGTTATATATATATATATATATATCTTATAAATATTTTTCATCAGTATTGAAAAAAACATTTATGTGTTCATGTGTAATTTGAAATTTCAAAGAATTTCTCAAATTTTAATGAATAAAAAAGGGTTTAATGTAGAATTTAACATTTAAAACTTAGATTTTTCTTCACATTTGCTTATTAATAACAAGTTGCTGATCAGATACAATATGGTATGATGTTAAAATATCATGACCGTTTTATAAAACAAGGGTTCTTCAGGTCCGAACAGACCCAGCATGTGAAAGCAGCATACAGTTTTGAGTGCATTATGAGTGTTAAAAAGATGTGATTTAATGCGAGTAACCTGAGCTCTGTTTCACTGGAGATGCAGTGTTATCTGAAATGTCTTTTATAACTTTTTGTTAACTGTATATCTTGTGTAATTTATTCAGAGATCGCCATGAAAATAGCCTTGATGCTGGCATGGTGTTAAAAAGTGAATCGATTTGTGATCGATTACAGCGTGTTTTTTATGTCGCCCAGGCCAGCAGAAGACTGCCTCGATTCCCAGCTTCATCCGACTGTGTTTCTGACGTGGAGCTCGACACCAGAGAGCTCGTCCGAGCCCAGAACAAGAAGAAGAAGAAGTCTGGTGGCTTTCAGTCCATGGGTGAGACGTCTGTATGAAACTCAGTCGTCATCAGTCGATCAGTCACAGGATTCGTGTCGCTCAGTGTGCTCTGCTTTCTCGCAGGTCTCAGTTACCCGGTGTATAAAGGCGTCATGAAGAAGGGCTATAAAGTTCCCACACC